AGTATGTAGCAAGTTGCGGAGGGACTATACAGTACCCTAGCTACTCCACATTAACCCCACATAAGGGTCCCTTTCTCAGCAAATCTCATACTTATGTTCATGGAGGGAATTAGTGCATAGTAGCTAGCCTCCTGTAAATTTATGGCTGTGCTAACACCAGTGCTTGTGAGATCAGAATTACGCCAAATGAATTTATCACATAGCTTTAGTACAGTGATTTCCCATATATGCTAAAACTGTGCATCAGAATCCAGACCCCTGTGACTCTCTCAGGAAGATAGTTGCCTACATTAGTACATTATTGTTCTTAATTCCATCAGTTAGTGGAAATCATGTGTATTGTTACAGCATTTAGCCTCATTAATGTTAAGGTCAATCATTATTAGTACTTTGTGTACAACTGCTAGAAGATGGGGCAAGTAAAACTAATTAGCCATAAAATGCTACCTTTCAAAAAAGGAAGCTATGAAAGAGCCAACCTTCCTTTTGCATTTTTAGGGACGTTCTGTTTTACAAGGAGATAAACAGTTCTGGGCGCCGCACTTCAAGAGGGATGTGGACAACATGGAGAGGGTCCAGAGGAGAGCCACTCGCATGGTCAGGGGGCAGCAGGGCAGGCCTTATGAGGAGAGGCTACAGGACCTGAACCTGTTCAACCTCCACGAGAGAAGGCTGAGGGGGGATCTAGTGGCCTGTTACAAACTAGTCAGAGGAGACCAGCAGGCATTGGGGCAGTCCCTGTTTCCCTGAGCACTGCCAGGAGTGACCAGGAATAACGGTCACAAGCTGGCAGAGGGTAGATTTAGGCTAGATATCAGGAGGCGCTACTTCACGGTCAGGGTGGCTAGGATCTGGAAGCAACTCCCAAGCGAAGTGGTGCTGGCTCCTACCCTGGGGGTCTTTAAGACAAGGCTTGACAACCACCTTGCTGGGGTCGTTTGACCCCAGTACTCTTTCCTGCTATGGCAGGGGGTGAGACTTGATGATCTGCTCAAGTCCCTTCTGACCCTACCAACTATGAATCTATGAAACGTGCTTAGGAAAACAAAGGTAAAACAGAGGGCAATATGGTCCATATGGTCAGCCTACTTCTGAGTGATTTCAGGCATTACACTTCTTGGTGTCTCAGTTTCCCCATATATGAAATAAGAATAGTGATATGTACCCTTTGTCATTAGTAGTCTAAAAACGCTTTACAAACTACATATGAAGTAGACTTATTTTTTATTTTAGAAGGGATCACTCTTTGTCATTACAAAGGCTAGGGTGCTGCAGAAAGTGTAGACCATGACCACCCTCTCAAATTTCCATCCCCCATTTGGTTTTGATTTCTCTGTGTTAGTCAAAATTGCTCTAAAGCCACAAGAGACATAATGAGAGCAAGCTATCTGTCTCATAAAGGACTTGTTCTGAGGGATGACAGGGGTATTTTCCCAGACTTTCACAATTACCTCTTTCCCATTCCCTCAAGAATTGTGTTTGCCCTTTTAGCATACATTTCCCCAGTCCCCACAGTACCCTTTAGGTTTTATTTCTCCTTATGTTTTCTGATTGCCTTGCTCAGCCAGCACACCATAACCAGTGCCACCATGTCTCATTTCATCTCCTAATCCAAGGTATATACAATTTGCAAGAGTATGCACTGTTTTTATAAATTACTTATATGAAAGATTTGTTGAAGAGCTGTGAATAATGAACAAACTGATACAAATGGAGAAAGGAGCTCCTCCTAAGTATAAACTTTGGGTCCCTCAACAAGGGATCATCAGAAACTTAGACGACCAATCACAGGTCCTGAATAGCAAATCATAATAGCAAATGTTGATAGCAAGCAGTTTGCCAGTAACCCATTGGCTACAAGTTGTGATACTCAGTTATTTACTGAGTATCTGCAAATAATAAACAAATCCATATAAGTCATTACACAGTTGTGTATAACTCAGTAATAAAAAAAAAAAAAGATTAAAATAATAGTATTATTTATTTGTGAGGAATAACTTGGCCTCTACTTGGTAGTTCATAAGACAGACATAGCACTGGGAAAGAGAGAAAAAAGGATCAAATGTGGAAGGCAGATGGCCCTGAAAACTGAAAACCTGAAACAATGAGTAGGAAAAAAAACAAATACCTTTATATACGAAGCAACAAAAATCAAATGATCTGCCTTTCTTTGGGTGTCAGTGAGTCATCAGCAGAACTTCAAGCACTAATTCTCTATTCTCCCTTATACCTCTGAAATATTTCTAAAAATAGGCACTCAGTCACCTAGTATCTTTCACAACTGCAATACATAATATACAGAACAAATAAAAAAACAGACAAAATTGAAAAAGAAAAAAACAATCAATAATGCATGGATTATGTAACTAACAATGGAAGAGACGCATAAAATGAGATAACACACAGGGCTACTGCTCTTTCAGTTAACTTCCTTGGTTATGTCCATTTCAACCTCACTTAATAGATAGCTCTCCTAATCACTATGCTTTTTAGGTTAGGTTAGCTTATGTAAAAACAAAGTTAGAAAACTTGTCCCCAAGCGTTCTATTTTTTTTTCTCTTTGCAGTTAGTGGCAATCAGAAGTCAATGTTATCAAACACTGCTTTTATCCAAAATAGTAAACTAATAAAAGAAAACAAATTTTATATTGGTTTTAACTAGATCTAAATTTTGTTTTGTTGAAATGGCTAAGGACTGCCAAATTAATGCAGCTATTTGATTTTTTTTTTTTTTAATGTAAGACCCTATTATTGCCAAAACACTTTTTTAAAACCTGGTATAACTAAAGGTCCTGATGAAAGTAATTTGTAACATTCAGTGACCTCATTTTATAGCATTTTTCTCAGTAGAAGCTAATGTGCATGATGCTGTGCGAAATTCTCAGACAAGCCTGTCTGTAGGACTTACGGGAACCATAAAGGGATTAAACCTCTCACTCCCTGCTTCAGCAAGTGATCAGTTACTTTTAAAAATAAAGGTCAATCTGTCTTTACAAAGAACACAGTGAAAGCAAGTTTAATAGCTTTCCCTACTGAGCCCAGAACATGACTATTTAAAACATAGTTAACAATGTCAGTCATTCATTGTGCTTTTTGCTTATTTTGTGTCTGAGGAGTTTCAGCACCCCCAGGTAGTTTTAAGAAGGGGTACTATACTAGTTATCAAACTGACAATTTTAACCTGCCCTCTAGAAACAGCTGTAAAACAATGTTTGGAAAAATTATAATAAATGCTAACTTTCCCATTGGAAACCAAATTGTAACATTACAGGGAAATAGATATTCACGTTTTATCTCATGTCTTCAATAATGATGGAAATATTATATTTTTTATGCACTGGGGCATAGTAATGAAATACAAAATGATGATGAAGAGATACAGTAGTACTTGTTACATCACCTCATTTTAGTTCTATATTATGAGTGTCTGTCGTTTGAGGATGCTCATGGTTTTCCATTTCTACTAGGGTGAAGAGCCATCTCATCTGCTCAGCACTTAGATATCTTATTATAGACTGAAGCAAATCAGCTGTGACTACTCTAACTGTAAAGACTATAAGAAGTGAGGACAATAAATGTAAAGCCCACATGATCTATTATGGAACCTTCATAATATGTTCTGATTTTCATAATCTAAATGCTTCTTTTCAAACTCTCTTGTTTTAAAACATTAGGTTTCTAGCTGTTTTGGCAGCAGAGAGCCTGCTAAATCAGAACAAAGTAAAGCAAATGCAGTAATGTCTGCTTGAGTTTGCACACAGCCTAATACAATAACTCAGAAGTACCAACTGCCTTGAGTTCCCTGACCTTGGCTGATTAGAATTTGGAGTTGATAATCCAATGATTATGCTTAATGATCATCATTTGCTACTTCATCACTGATCTAAAATGCTAGTGGCTGGGAGGATGGCACAGTCAGAATAAAGTACACTACACTGGGAACTGGGAGTTTCTGAAGAGAATGAAATGCAGAGTAGGTTGACAGAGGTAGAGCAGTGGGAGAGAAATAGAAACAAAGATTAAAAAAGAAGAGAAATGAAGAGCAGACTTAAAAGGAGAAAATCAGTGAATGATGATTGTGACAATAACTGTGAAAATAATTCAACTGTTAGTTACTTCATAAAGATGTGTTTTTTCTCTTGCTCTCTGTGCAAACCTCAGCTAGTTGTGGTTCATTCATTGCAATCTGATGGCTAATTGGTGACCTATGTGAAGCGAGTGTGTATTCTGTTTAGTTCTATTGTATGTGGTCCACATTGCTTCAGTCATCACCACAACTGTATAACCATAAGTCACAGAAATGAGACAAAGAGTTAAATTCCCATGTAATATAAACTACCCAGAGACACAGGAAAAGCCATGCAGTTTGCCCAGTCCTCTGTTTGTTCTGTGACTGAACAGAGAATTTCAGTTTCCAGGTCTTTCAGTTCAGCATCTTTCATGATCACTCCATCTGTTTTAAGAGATGAATAAATAGATTACAGTATTTTAGGTGTTGCTAAGTTAAATGGAGCTGCATTTACTTTTACAAACTCCAGCAAGAATAGATACTTTGCATACAGAAAAATAATGCAAGGGAGGCCATCGGTTGCCAGCACAAGCTCTTCTAGCTCCTATTTTTCATTCTGATCACTAGACAGATCCCAGCATCTTTAACAACAATAAAAAATATTTGGCGTATCTTCCAGCATATGCACTCTGGGATACTGAAAACAGAGGTTTAAAAAAACCCACAGATATTCTATTTGTTTACCAGCAACCCAGGGCTGCTGATAAAGACACTTAGATTTCCAAACTATCTTTTTCATAATGAATATAGTTCTGTTACTTACAAAACCTTAATATCATTCTTTTTTTCAGGACCTTTGCCACATTAATGAATCTACTTTTATTTCCTGTGAACCTGTTAGCATGTCCATGTTGAAATTTTATTCCATGTTGGCTTGTCCTCCTTGACTGAGAGATAAATACCTTAAACACTTGCTTTGTTCTCTATTCTAGGTCATGGGTTATATGGGACTTTTGAAATGTTATCCTCCTGGAGGAAAACCAGAGAAGACCAACATGTTAAAGAGAGAACTGCAGCTGTGTTTGCAGACTCCATGCTCTCCTTTTCTCTCACCACTGCCATGTACCTGGTCACTTTTGGAATAGGTGCCAGTCCCTTCACTAACATTGAAGCAGCCAGGATTTTCTGCTGCAATTCCTGTATTGCAATTTTCTTCAACTACCTCTATGTACTCTCCTTTTATGGTTCCAGCCTGGTGTTTACTGGCTACATAGAAAACAACTACCAGCATAGTATCTTCTGCAGAAAGGTACCAAAGCCAGAGGTATTGCAAGAGAAGCCTGCGTGGTATAGGTTTCTTCTGACTGCCAAATTCAGTGAGGACACAACAGATTCAGAGGAAACAAACACTTACGAAAGTCATCTATTGGTATGTTTCCTAAAACGCTATTACTGTGACTGGATAACAAACACTTATGTCAAGCCTTTTGTAGTTCTCTTTTACCTTGTTTATATTTCCTTTGCCTTAATGGGCTACCTGCAGGTCAATGAAGGGTCAGACCTTAGTAACATTGTAGCAACTGCAACTCGAACCATTGAGTATACTACAGCCCAGCAAAAGTATTTCAGTAACTACAGCCCAGTCATTGGGTTTTATATCTATGAGTCAATAGAATACTGGAACACAAGTGTTCAAGAAGACGTGCTGGAGTATACCAAGGGGTTTGTGAGAATATCCTGGTTTGAGAGCTACTTAAATTATCTTAGGAAACTCAACATATCTACTGGATTGCCCAAAAAGAATTTTACTGATATGTTGAGGAACTCTTTCCTGAAAGCCCCCCAGTTTGCCCATTTTTCAGAGGATATCATCTTTTCCAAGAAATATAATAATGAAGTTGATGTAGTGGCTTCCAGGATGTTCTTGGTGGCCAAGACGATGGAAACCAAGAGAGAAGAACTTTATGATCTCCTGGAAACCTTGAGGAAGCTCTCTCTCACCTCCAAGGTGAAATTCATCGTTTTCAATCCATCATTTGTGTACATGGATCGTTATGCCTCCTCAGTGGGAGCCCCCTTACAAAACTCCTGCATCAGTGCTTTATTTCTGCTCTTCTTCTCCGCATTCCTGGTGGCAGACTCTCTGATCAATGTCTGGCTCACTCTAGCTGTTGCCTCAGTCGAATTTGGAGTTATAGGTTTTATGACCTTGTGGAAAGTGGAACTGGATTGTATTTCTGTGTTGTGCTTAATTTATGGAATTAATTATACAATTGACAACTGTGCTCCACTGTTATCAACTTTTGTCCTGGGCAAAGATTTCACAAGAACTAAATGGGTAAAAAATGCCCTTGAAGTTCACGGGGTAGCTATTTTACAGAGCTACCTCTGTTACATTGTTGGTCTGATTCCTCTTGCAGCTGTGCCTTCAAATCTGACCCGTACACTGTTCAGGTGCTTGTTTTTAATAGCATTAGTCACCTTCTTTCACTGCTTTGCCATTTTACCTGTGATACTGACTTTTGTGCCACCATCCAAGAAAAAAAGGAAAGAGAAGAAGAATCCTGAAAATCGTGAGGAAATAGAGTGTGTTGAAATGGTGGATATGGATAGTACCCGAGTGGTTGACCAAATTACAACAGTCTAACTTGTTTATTGCTTTTTCACACTAGGTCTTATTGTCAGAAAAATAATTCATATTGATTAAATATTAGGTTTTTATTACTTTTTATTGCCCCTAAACTGAAACCAAGAATATCCAAAATGGTGGGAGAAAGAAGAAAAAGGAAATTGTCCCTGGATTGGTCTCTGCAACAGAAGCATTGTAAACGAGAAAATTTCTTCGCAAACCATGCAAAGAGTGTGAATTTTAGTCACTTGAGATAAGATTCAATAAGGAAGATAGGTTGCTAAACGCAGTATGTTGCCTTGTCTATACTGGAGATACTGCTATTATTGTTGCTGAGTTCAATCAAATTGAAAGGTCAACTGTCAAGGCTGAAGTAGCGTTAAGTGTTCATCCAGATGTAAAGGCTTTATAAACTTTCTGCACAGCAATAACTCAAGTTAGTGAATCAGCTCCTGTAGGTCTTAACCAACACATTTCTGTTCTTTTATTCCCCCCCCTCCCTCCCCCCGCTGTATACATTTATGCAGGTTTGTATTACACATAGCAAAGGGGACAAGGAAAGAAGACTGTACATAACCAAATACTTTCAAAACAAATTTGCATTACAAATCACTTTTTCCTCTAAAAATATTTATTTTAAAAAGTAATTAATTTCCTAGAACAATTTTAAACCAATTCATGGTTTTGTAGCTATTCCTTTTTCTAGAAAAAACAAAATAATAAAAAAACTCAGTGACTCCAATACTCTAAAAAATTCAAAATTCTATTTTATTAATGTCTTGCTACTAATTTAACAAGGAATCTGCTTTACCAATTGTAGTTTTTGTTATCATTGAACTAATATATGCCAATAGATCAAATAGCAGATAAAAGATGGTGTGACTGAATATTTCAGCACCAAAATCCATTAACCAAACCTCAATTACCTGATGTCATCATGGAAAAGTGAATGTTAGGGCTTCTTTAGTAAGAACCTATTTCAGGCCATTCACTAGAAATTAAGTAATAGTTTTATGTAATCCATGATTTAATCCCTCAAGATATGTAGAATACCTGTAAAGCAATACACATTGCTTTTATGGGCTCTTGCAAGAGACCTTAGAGCATGTCCATATGAGAAGCTTCAGGTTTATCTATCTTCTAAAACAGTCTGTATGAAAAGGGGACTATTGAAAACATCACATTTAGAATATGTATGCACACATATGCATGCATGCACACACATACTTCTGAATCTTCTTGGAGTATTATGTTCTAAATCAAGTTAGCATATATGATGTGGAGTAATGCAGATAAAGAAGTAGCTCTCCTCTGGGCCCTTAAGAAACACAGGGCACAGTGTGAGGTATTATATCAAATGAGAACCCCTACTGGGAACATTAACCAATTGAGTAGGTTTTACTGAAAGCATTCGAACTAAAACTGGTAAATGAAAAATCAGTTACATGGAGGTAAATTCTGTGTCAGGTGTTCTAGTGAAAATACAGATATTGTATCTAGATGCCCTTTAAAATTTACCCCAAGGGACAAACTATTACAGAGCTTTTTTACCTGGCACAATAGTTATCTAAATTGTGGGCTGTGGAATTCTAATTTATGTTATAGGTGCCATGTAGCTTGGATTGTTTTGAGTCTTTTAGCATCAGGAGACTGCATGTGTTGCTCTATGATGACTGTTGGTGTTGTAACAAATCAGTGGTTTGCTTG